AAATATTTACTAAATTTTATATTTTTAAATAAATAGATATATTTTCTATTAATTATTTCAACAAATTAAAACACACAAAACTCAACAACAACAACAACGGAACGAACGAACGCACGAACTCTAGAGAGCTAGAACAGCAGACCGGTCAACACTTTTTTCAAACAAAAATAAAAAAACTAAAAACATAATCATTGTATTTTTATTTTAGCGAAATTCTTTGTTTCTATTATAATAAACTTTAAATTCTTATAATTTTATAAAAAAATATTAACATTTCACCAAACAATTTGCGCATATTAGTAAACAATAAAGGAGAAACCGAAGGAAAATACATTCATACTAATGCAAAACAAAACAGAGACAACAAAATCTAATAGCAAAAAAAGTAAACAGAGAGTAAGGCGTACTCTCTTGGATTAAGGAAAACAAGTGCAAATAAATAAACTTGTTGCTGCAACAATACATAAACAAAAGGAAATGACAAACAAACTTTCGTTAAGATGAAAACTACATATAGTTTTATAATTTTTGCTAATTTAACACATTTACACTAGAATATTTATTAAATATTTATAAGAATTTAATAATTTAACACTTTTTCTAAACTTTTAATATAATTTCACTTTTATAGCGACAGTTGAACCGAATTTTTAAATTACCTAACAGAAGCAGCCACTCACGCACATCTGACTGCATCGAATTTTCTAAAGAGACTGACAAATTTAACGAAAAAGTTAAAGATGAGCTTTTCTAAAAGAAGTTCATGTTGGAAACATGTTGATTTTGGATAAGTACATACAGCATCAAAGGAGATATAAGGCTCGGTTATAATAAATGAGGAAATAAAAAAAAAGTAAAACGTAACATGGATTAGAATATTTTAAATCTGAATTTATTAAATAAACTCAAAAAATCTCACAAATTTCAATATTTGGGGCAATTTATATTATACTTCATGGGTAAAATGTGGTAAATTCATATTTCTACTTTCTGGAATCATTTGTCTAGTCTACACTATTGACTAGATTAAAGCTCTGACTAAATAATAGACTAGACTAAAAACTAGACTATACTCCAAATTATAGATTAGATAATTGTCTAGACTATTACTAGACCATAGTATAGACTATATTTGAAAATATATAATCACTAATAAGTACTTTTGACCAAAAGCTGACCTTTTATACTCTAAACTAACTTCAAAATACAGGTATAAAGTTGATAGTCAACATGAACTCTACAAACACCTATACAAAATTTAAAGAAAAGTTATTAAATTTTCAAATATTCTTTAAGAATTTAATATAATTTACTAAAAATGTTTTAAACAATTTCCGAAAATTATGAAGTGAAAGGTGAAACTAAAGAGGAATAGGAACAAAAACAAACTAAAAATCTTTCTCTCTTGAGAAAAAAACACTTGTTTTTTACACTAATACTAATACAAAGTTTGTAAATAGTTGATTGCAACATAAATATGTTGCCAAACATGAGAAGTAAAGACAATTCTCTCAACTTTAGGAAAATTGCATTGAATTGGCGGGAAACGGATAACGAAACAAAAAGAAATGATAAATGAACTTTCGTTAAGATGAAAACTACAGATAGATATTTTTTTAGCTAATTTAACACATTTACACAGGAATTTTTGTTAAATAATTATATAAAACTAATAAATGAACACTTTTTCTAAACGTTTAACACTTTTTTAATAATTATTCTAACATTTTAACCGTTTTTTTAAGATACCGAACCGCAGCAGCCACACACGCACGTCCGGCTGCAACTAATTTACTAAAGAGACTAATTGGAGTATTTAACGAAGGAGTTTAAGAAAAGTGTTTTTTTTTAGGATAAACTCTGAGATGGAAAATGTGAATTTTAGAATTGTGAGCCATGCAAAATAATGTTTTGAAATCAAAAGTACTAAACTATTTGAGATTTGAAAAAAGTAATGAAAATTTAAAAATTTTAATATTTACATTAGAATTCTTTAAAAAAAAACAATGAAATCTTCTTGAACTTTTACAAATTTTTTTTGTTCAAAATATTATTTGTCAATTAAAATTGCAACAATTAATACATATTAGAAGTTACAAGTTTCACACTTGTAAAACTTGTACAGCAGAAATTTGAAATATTTTTTTACGTCATCATTGCAAAAATTTAAAATTTACAAAAAATATGTCTAACTTCAAATTTATATTCAAATTATAATTTTTCCAATTTGATCTACTGTTAAAACGGTAGAATTTACTTACAATGGACTAGACTAAATGTTTTCTATATAAAGAAAATATTAAATCAGCATATCTGAGAAAATATAATAGAGTCCTAAAATTTTGTCGAAAACACTTTATTATCATTATTAGTACATATTTAAGACAAAAAATGGGCGAAATAACAGTAAAAATGTCATTATCTGGCAAACTATTGGAGACTTAAAATTTAGCACGAAGAACTTTAATATTCGTCGGAACATTTTGGGGAAAATGGAGCTTGGGGAGCTTGGAACCTCCCATATGAATTAAATGCAAAATTAAGAATATCTGGAAAAATATTAGTTTATTCAAATACTTCAAAATCTTAAAGTAGGTTTTTTATTTATATTATTTTTAGGTAGCAAAGCACACTGCTAGCTAGTATAAATTTAATAAAAAGAGGGGAAATTGGAACTTGTTCTTTTTAAATGAAAAAATTATTCTAAAGTAAAAGTAAACATATCGATTATATTCAGTCTTAAATAGCACATGTTTTCAGGAGAGCAAAAAAACAAATGTTTATTTTGCAAATTGTTTAAAAAAATTAAAATAAACTAAAATTACGTAATTAGTAACATATTCAAACTCCTACTAGAGTCCTCAAATTTTGCACGAACAACATTGACACATATATGAATACTGGGAGAAAAATGGGCGAGCTAGCATTAGTGGGTGTGGCACATCCCATGCCTATATTGCTTGCCAATATCAAATGACGTACATAAATTTGGAAAACTATTACAGCTACAATTCCCAAATTTTGCACGATTAACTATAGTGTCAATATGAAAATGATGCGCAATAATGGGCGGATAATAAATAGTGGGCGTGTCATCCCCCATATAAAGTTAGTACCAAAATTCGTATATCTAGGAAACTATTTGGAGTGCTCAAATTTCGTCTGACCCAATATGAGTATTTAAGACAAATATGGGCGGACTAGAAAAAGGGGGCGTGGTACTTCCTATATGAATTAAACACAAAAATTCGTATATCGGGGAAACGATTGCAGCTAGAATGCTCAAACTTTGCAGATACAATTTTGACATCCATGTTGGTTTGCCCAAAAAATTGGCGGATCATGGGAGGTGATCCCTCCCATAAGAATTAAATAGAAAAAATCGTATATCGAGGAAATTATTGGAGATAGAATGTTCAAATGTATCTAATTTTTTGGCGGATAAGGGGAGCGTGGTCCCTCCCAACAACAATTACAATTATTACAAGTTTCCAGATAATTAAAAAATATTATTGTGAATTACGTATGGAAAAGGAAATTTAAAGAAATCGAAATTACTAACACAAAAACCGATTTGATATTGTCGGATGCCATTGATTTAAAAAACTTTATTTACTATAATGGTAAATACGTTGAAATATGGCGAATAAAAAAACTACTTTTAACATTTAAAAACCTGCAAATTTTTTTAAATTTAAATGCAATTAATATGAAAAAATTACAACTTTTATATGGAAAAAAGAAAGAAGAAGACGAAGAGGAAAAAGAAGAAGAAGAAAAAGAGAATTGCCCTACAAAAGTACAATATGACTTGATTTTAAGGAGAAAATATGATGAAATATGAAATCTGACTGAACCAATTTGTTGTGGAATAACATTGGAAAATATGGATTTACAAAAGGTGGCCGAGAATTGTTTAAACCTGAAAATATTAGCCTTGATAACATGTTTAAATCTTAAGCACGAACCACTAATAGTAGACAACAAAGAATAAACAAGAAGTGAAACGCTGTCATTTTTTTACAACAATAACATTACGCTCTTCTCACAGACGAGTGCTGTGTAAATCCAACACATATGTAAAAATTTTATTCTCTCTCCAAACTTCAAAACTTTTTCGCGAAAATTTGAGGATAATAGCACTTTGAAATATTTTTTTATCACTTAACATTATAGTTTATAATTTTTTTGCACAATTTAAACACATTTAATAGCCCAAAAATAATATATTTTTTACAAACGAAAAAAAAATATTTTTTATTTTTTGACATTGAATTTTTGTTGGTTGAAATTAAAACTAAAAAAAAACAATGTTGTAAATTTTCGTATGGTAAACGAAAAAGATATTTCAAATAAATAATTTATTTTTCAATATTATAGATTAAAAAACAAATAGACGTGTTTATAAAACGTTTGTAGATAAAATATGTGGAAAATATCTTAAGAAACCTTTCAAAGTATAAATTGAAATGTAATATTTTTTTTTCAATATTTTTCAATGCGATTTTTTGCAACTATGTTGACTTGAGAATTCTACTAATACATTCTTACAGTTAGGTACCGGATGACAGTAGACTTAGGTACTTTTGACAACAGTTTCATTTCTTATTTATTCTTTGGTAGACAATGACATCGATATTGAAGTTCTAAAAAATATGAAGAATTTACAAAAATTAAATTTACGTGCCTTCAATTGTAATTTGCAACACTTTTACACCTTAATGAATATTCAAAATATTATTAAACAATTACAGTTGCAGCAATTAATTGTTAATGTTAGAATTCATACAGATATTTTTGAAAATGTAAGAAATTTCAATAATTTTCAAACTTACAAAGTTTTTCAAATATCTGGTTTACATGTAGTTTTTAAAAAATCTTTATTCATAATAACTTTTTCTCAATAAAAGTAATTTATAAAATGTTGTACAAAATAAAAATTTTATTGTAGGTAAGTACCTACTATAAACCAACTATAAAAAGAAAATTGACATTATTTATACAAATTTGAGTGAAATTCATATCTAAAAAACCCAATATTTGATACTGCAAAAAAAAACGTTTAAAATGAACGCTATTAATGCAATTAATAATATTCGTAAGTACAATAATTACATTCTTAATTTCAAAATAATACGTAAATATGTATAACTTTTAAGATGATATTGCCCAAACAAGATCTACAAAAATTTACAATCCAAGGACGGATCCATTCGCGCTATCCGATGAGAATTTTAAAGGCAGATACCGGTTTACGAAAACCACAGTAAAAAAGATTGTAGCAATGACAATGGAAGACATTAAGTTAGAAAAAAGAGGATGTGGAACATCACCGGAACTCCAAGTGTTGGTAGCGTTAAGATGTTGGGGAAGAAGAGAGGTAAAATATGTCAACTTACACATGTTCTATATTAACATTATTTCTTCAGGCTCAAGATGATGCTGCAGAATTGCATGGCCTAACACAGCCAACTGTGTCAAGAATATGTGCTAGGGTAGCGCGGGCTTTGGCAAGACACGCAAGAGAAAAAATCAAAATGCCCAGCAACTTAAGCGAAGAACAAGAAGTGATGAGAGAATTTAAAGCAATAAAAAATTTTCCTGGAATTATTGGTGCAATAGACGGCACCCACATAAAAATAAAGAAAACAGGTGGAAGTCTTGCCCAATATTATATAAACAGAAAGGGGTATTATTCTCTCAATATACAGGTATATCCTTATAATTATGTATTTGAAATGAATTTTGTAATAATTTGCCCCATTTTAATATTTGCAAAGGTCGTTTGTGATGCTAACCTTAAAATAAGGGACATAGTTGCTAGATGGAGAGGAAGCACACACGACTGCCGCATTTTTAATGAATCAAATATTAAAGAACGTTTTGAAAACAAAGATTTCAGAGGTCGTTTATTAGGTGATTCAGGATACAAATTGCAACCATACCTCTTTACTCCTTTATTAAGACCTCAAAGCGAAAAAGAGATTAAATATAATAAAGCTCATATAGCAACGAGAAATACGGTGGAACGATGCTTCGGGGTATGGAAGCAGAGATTTCGTTGCTTGCTGGATGGATTAACAGTAAGTCTGGAAAATGGAAAAACTTTAATTATAGCTCTGGCTGTTCTTCACAATATTGCTGTTGAAGAAAAGGACACAACACCAGGTAAGAAAATCATATAATTATTTCAATAAAATATTAATTGATAAGTAAGTTTTTTTATTTTAATTGCATACAAATAATAACAATAACAAATTTAAATTAGTTATTAATAAAAATTAATTGCTAATTAAAAATTATACCATTTTGTTAAAAATATAAACAATTCATTTATTTTAAACTGTTTTCTTTTGCTTGCATTTTTCCCCAATCTGTAAAAAATATATATTTTTAGATGATTCTAACATAGATGTGACAATTGATATACAAAATATAATGGAAGAAAATCAAAATAATTGGACGGAACAACAAGATACTCGGTCAAAAATTATTTTAAATAGTTTTATTCAAAAACACTTTTAGCTTTTTATATTTATGCATTTATTAATATAAATTTTTATAATAATAAATATATGAATTAAACGAAATACTAACCAGCCAATTTGTTTTTGTTAATCATTATTTTGGTTCTGAGCAATTCATTTTCTAGGTCCAGATTTAGACCTCTTTTTTTCTCATTTTCAACTTGCAGAATGTGGAGCTCTTTGCGGCATTGCGTTTCTATATCAGCAATGGATTTAATTTTTTCGTCGTGCATATTTGTTTTTGGTTTCTTCAAAAAACATATTTTAAAATCACATGATATATCTAATTTTTTATTTTTTATATCGGTTGATATATAAGTATTAATAATTTTACCTTTTTCTTTACTGAGGTAAATTCATTTTTTATTTCAGCCGAGCTAACAATATTTACTGCTGCATTGTCTTCTTGTCCCGACATTGTTCCATTGTTATTCACTGTTACATTATCTTCTGGTACCGAAGATAAATCAACTTTTTCCGACTATAAATAAAACGCAAATGTACATAAGTTTTTCTTTGAATAAAAAATTATATCGTTCCTTTACATACGTTTGCAGAATTACTTTGACTGACTTCATTTAACACATTGGTATTTATCTAAGTTTAAAATTTAAAGAAGTGCATTAGTTTAGTAATGGGAAAGTAAAAATACATGTTTGTATGTATATATATACTTGGACATTTTATACCTCAGTAATAATAGCATCACAATCAAACTCATTAGTATCAACCACGAACTCATTTGGTAACCAAACGCTAAGTTCGTTGGCCAATAATGTAGATTCAACTGGTTTTGGTCCTCCCCCAGTTTTAAGAATCTCTCTACGATAATCGCTCATTTCCTTTTTTGCTTGAATTTTCATTGTGGTCCACTGCGATTTCAGTTGAAGCAATGAACGTGGACAACCTTGACATAAATTGTTGAAACTAGAAATTCTAATCTCATTAACCAATCTTAAATTAATAAAATTAATTTACTTTTCTTGCAGTTCCATCCATACTTTTTTCTTCCTTTGGTTGGTGTTTGTGTCCGTATTCTTGTCCTCTATTTGATCAACACGTTCCTTTATTAGATCCTTTAATAAAATCTATATACAAAAACGAAAAAATATGGATTTATGAATATACATATGGTTAAATCTTCGCTATAACAAAATTAATGTTTAATTACCTTATCTTCAGGTATCCAATTGTCTCCACGCTTCCTTTTTATATTATCTTTAATATCTTTTGTTTCCATTTTCACAAGAATTAATTGAAAATTTTATTTCAAAATTGTATAACTGACAACTAAAAAATGAAGTGTTGCCAGTAAAAATACCAAACATTTGAAAAAATGTTTTATACTAATAAACTATATATTAAAGGTTTCTGAATATTATATTTTATTAAGAGTTTATAACACGAAAAGGCTTTAATAACTACAAAAGGTAATAAACCAAAAATAATTTTTTTTTATAAATAAGGCTGAAAATATGTGGAAAATATCTTAAGAAACCTTTCAAAGTATAAATTGAAATGTAATATTTTTTTTTCAATATTTTTCAATGCGATTTTTTGCAACTATGTTGACTTGAGAATTCTACTAATACATTCTTAGAGTTAGGTACCGGATGACAGTAGACTTAGGTACTTTTGACAACAGTTTCATTTCTTATTTATTCTTTGGTAGACAATGACATCGATATTGAAGTTCTAAAAAATATGAAGAATTTACAAAAATTAAATTTACGTGCCTTCAATTGTAATTTGCAACACTTTTACACCTTAATGAATATTCAAAATATTATTAAACAATTACAGTTGCAGCAATTAATTGTTAATGTTAGAATTCATACAGATATTTTTGAAAATGTAAGAAATTTCAATAATTTTCAAACTTACAAAGTTTTTCAAATATCTGCTTTTGATGAATATTTTGAATTCTTAAATGTTCAAACCGCAATTTTGCAAAAATTTGAAAATTTTTCTAATTTGCGAATAGACTGTTCTGGCAGAGCTAATTTGATACTCAAAGATTTCTTTAATATTTTATAAAAATTTTGTAAAAATTTAACATATTTATGGTTGGAAACCTGTACTATAAATGATTTTATAGCATTGCCCAAATTATAAGAACTTTATCTCTCGGACTGTGAAGGATTTAGTTTTACAAATTTGAAAACTATATTAAATGAAATGTCTTTAAAATCGTTCACTTCCATTTGGATCAATTATAAAGGAGATTTCCAAAACATTGCAAAAATTCGAAAGTCATCATTTTAATAACAAATATTTCACAGAGTTATTCATGCTTAACGCGACAAACAAAGAATAAACAAGAAGTGAAACGCTGTCATTTTTTTACAACAATAACATTACGCTCTTCTCACAGACGAGTGCTGTGTAAATCCAACACATATGTAAAAATGTTATTCTCTCTCCAAACTTCAAAACTTTTTCGCGAAAATTTGAGGATAATAGCACTTTGAAATATTTTTTTATCACTTAACATTATATTTTATAATTTTTTTGCACAATTTAAACACATTTAACAGCCCGAAAATTATATATTTTTTACAAACGAAAAAAAAATATTTTTTATTTTTTGACATTGAATTTTTGTTGGTTGAAATTAAAACTAAAAAAAACAATGTTGTAAATTTTCGTATGGTAAACGAAAAAGATATTTCAAATAAATAATTTATTTTTTCAATATTATATATTAGAAAACAAATAGACGTGTTTATAAAATGTTTGTAGATAAAATATGTGGAAAATATCTTAAGAAACCCTTCAAAGTATAAATTGAAATGTAATATTTTTTTTTCAATATTTTTCAATACGATTTTTTGCAACTATGTTGACTTGAGAATTCTACTAATACATTCTTAGAGTTAGGTACCGGATGACAGTAGACTTAGGTACTTTTGACAACAGTTTCATTTCTTATTTATTCTTTGGCGACAAATCTCACAAACCTAACAGAATTATATTGGCGTACGAATGAAAAAAAGTTAACAAGTTATGAGTTTCAAAATTTACCTCAAATTTAAAGTTACTTATATTCAATTGACGATTTTGTAATATCCGATTTTCTAATGCTTCTCAAACATGAGCATTTGCAGGAATTATTACATAGTGATTATAGATATTGTCGTGTCGACGTTGAATTAAGTGAAATTAAAGCATTTCAAAGCAATCTTTTGTATCTCAAAGTACATTGGAAATTGATACTCTCTATGAAATATTTTTTGCTAGATTTCTTAAATATGAATAGAAAATTGTCTTTTAAATGTGACATAATAAGATCTGATGTAATACGTGATATAGTGTGTAGTAGGAAATTTCCAACACGTTTTAAAAGTATAACGTTGTATTCATAAAAAATGCTTATTTTAGATTTAAATCACACAATAGTTAAAGTACACTTTAGACTTAAAAGCCATTAATAAAATTGTGGTATTCATAAACAAATAATAAACCTACATTAACTATTGTGCTGTTTATTGTTTAACTTGGCAGCACTGTACCATTTGGCTGTCATTTTCTGTGTTAGTGTTGCGTACAATTAGGATAAAATATTCGTTGAGTCGGTTTTCTTAATTTAATATTTTTGGTTATAACACATTTTTGAAAATAAGAACAAACTTTAAAGAAAAATAAATGTATACATGGCTACAATAAATATATATTTAGTTCAGATGAATGAATATAACATATATATTTTTAATTATAATTAAAAGTATTCTAATAACGAATATTTTGTGACAAAATAAACATCACTATGCACATTTTGTAATTTTTACTTATTTTTATAGCAATTTTTAATAAATTTTTGCAAATACTGATAAATTTCTTTAATAAAGGACTACATTTTATTGCCGGAGAAGATATTTTGCATTGATATAACACTAATCAATATAATTTACACTCTTAATTACTTCATGGCTTTATATTTAGCGAATAAACTATGAAAAAGACAAATAAAATGATTGTGGCCATGATTTGATTGACAGGCGGGCATTTCCAAATTGCCAAAAATAGTATTGACCAACTGGAATATTGTCAAATATTCATCTATTAATCCAATAATGCCTAGAATTTAGTTTTTCCACCAAAATAGAAACTTTTAAAATATATCTGGAATTTTATTTACAAATTTGTAAACGTTAAAATTACAATTTTTAGATTTTATTTCAGAATAAAACATGATTAGTTTTCGTCTTCAACCTAAAATTAATGAAAAAAGCTAATCAGAGACAAAATTTGTAAGAATTCAACTTATTGTTGGCTTAAAGTAGGGTCGAGCGTACAATAAATTTTTTCTATTTGTCATTGGTTTATTGAAGGTATTTTAAGCTATTTGACGTTTATGAATACCATTTTCGTGGATTTTGCTTAATAATGTTTAATAAACCTAAATTAACTTTTTATGAATACAACCGTAAATATTTGCGGCTTTTCTATAGGTAAATTGAATGTAAATTTATAAAAATTATTAATAGTTTTATAATAAAACAAATATTCTATATAATTTTTAGCTTGTGATTCTATTCAGCAGCAACGTGAAGAGACTATGCCGCATATTAAAGATCTTATTGAATCATATAAAATCTGTCATCGTGGACCATACGTTATATTGCAGTAGTATTATTAATTTTTCTATATAAGACTTAAATTTGTCAAATTAGTAAATTAATGAAATTATTATGTAAATTCTTATGTTTTTTTATTTAATATAATTTGCACAATTGTCTATTTAACGATTAGACTATAGACTAGACTATAGACTAGACTATAGACTAGACTATAGACTAAACTATAAACTAGACTATAAACTAGACTATAAACTAGACTATAGACTAGACTATAAACTAGACTATAGACTAGTCTATTTGCTGATCTATGGTCTAATATATAGTCTGGACTATTGCTAAGTGTTTAGTTTGGATTTTAGTCGAGTAAATAGACAGGATTATTGTTAAGTCTATGGTTACTTAAACAATTATTTAAAAGCCGTGAAGAATGTATTATCCAAAATATTATATACTTATATTTTATATTTGTATGTTTTTAGGTCATTAACATATTCATATTTCAAATTTGGAGTCTGTACGTTACTTTTTACTTTTATCTCCCTGAAAGCTGTAAAAATCAAAAATTTAGATTTTCCATACCTGAACTTACTTTTGAAATGCTCCTTCGTTAAATGTTCCAATTAGTCTCTTTAGTAAATTAGTTGCAGTCGGACGTGCGTGAGTGGCTGCTGCGGTTCGGTATCTTGTAAAAACGGTTAAAATGTTAGAATAATTATTAAAAAAGTTTTTAACGTTTAGAAAAAGTGTTAATTTATTAGTTTTTTATAATTATTAAACAAAAATTCTGTTTAATTAGCTAAAAACAAAATCTATATGTAGTTTTCATCTTAACGAAAGTTCATTTATCATTTCTTTTTGTTTCGTTATCCCTTTCCCACCAATTCAATGCAATTTACTTAAAGATGAGAGAATGGTCTGTATTGCTCATGTTTGGCAACATATTTATTTTGCAATCATCTATTTGCCAACATGTATGTATTAGTGTTAGTGTAAAAACAAGTGTTTTTTCTCAATAGAGAAACATTTCTAGTTTGTTTTTATTCCTATTCCTTTTTAGTTTCTCCTTTTACTTAATAATATGCGGAAATTGTTTAAAATATTTTAGATTCTTAAAGAATATTTGCAAATTTAATAACTTAACATATAGACTACAGTCTAGTCAATAGCCTAATCTATAGTCTAGTCTATAGTCTAGTCTATAGTCTAGTCTATAGTCTAGTCTATAGTCTAGTCTATAGTCTAGTCTATAGTCTAGTCTATAGTCTAGTCTATAGTCTAGTCTATAGTCTAGTCTATAGTCTAGTCTATAGTCTAGTCTATAGTCTAGTCTATAGTCTAGTCTATAGTCTAGTCTATAGTCTAGTCTATAGTCTAGTCTATAGTCTAGTCTATAGTCTAGTCTATAGTCTAGTCTATAGTCTAGTCTATAGTCTAGTCTATAGTCTAGTCTATAGTCTAGTCTATAGTCTAGTCTATAGTCTAGTCTATAGTCTAGTCTATAGTCTAGTCTATAGTCTAGTCTATAGTCTAGTCTATAGTCTAGTCTATAGTCTAGTCTATAGTCTAGCCTATAGTCTAGTCTATAGTTTAGTCTATAGTCTAGTCTATAGTCTAGTCTATAGTCTAGTCTATAGTCTAGTCTATAGTCTAGTCTATAGTCTAGTCTATAGTCTAGTCTATAGTCTAGTCTATAGTCTAGTCTA